GGGGGGGGGATGGGGGACGGGGGACGGGGACATGTGGCTTGTTCTCTCCCATAAACAACAGTCTCCAGCATTTCTCCAACAATCTGTCCTTGGGCAAGGGGTTTGCAGATCAGAGGCATTTAAATTAGTTAATTAAAACTAAAAATGTAACTTGCTCTCACTGTGGCATGGATAGATTTCGCCAACAGCAACAGAGCAGCAGAGAAAATTTCCAATACAAAAAGAATCACTGCTCATAACTGGAGGTAATCTATTCTAATACTGAACATCTTTCCTATATTGCACTTACACTTTTATACTTGCTTTGTGATTATTTAAGATTAGCTGAACGTTCTTTGAGAACAGGACCATATCAAATTTTCGTTTTCCTTTCAGTGTGAACCTAGGACCACCAAAGTACATCAATGCTTTTTCTTCTCGTTTTTTATTATTTTTATAGTAGAATCAGAGTAGGTTTATTAAGAAAAGCTAGGTTGAATAGAGCAAAGAGAGGAGTTAGCAACTCAGTCTCTTACTTTTCATTTTTATTATTATTTTTAGAAAGGGTCTCTCTACATAGCCCTAACTGTTCTTTTTTCTTTTCTTTTTTTTTTTGTTTTTTGTTTTTTTTGTTTTTGAGACAGGGTTTCACTGTGCAGCCCTGACTGGCCTCCTTCAGAGATCTACCTGTTTACCCTGATTTCAGCCTTTTAAATATTTATTCAGACTGGCATACTACAAATATCTTCTGGTAACTGAAAAGGACAGATAAAGTGGCTTGGAGAGTTTTTTGCTTTTACTGATTTTACAGCCTTGCTCCGCCCCCACCCAACCCCCGTTTTCTTTCTTTCTTTGAAACAGGGTCTCTCTGTGTAGCTCTGGGTGTCCTGGCACTCACTCTGTAGACAGTAGACAGGCTAGCCTCGAACTCAGAGATCCGCCTGCCTCTGCCTCCTGAGGGCTGTGGGGATTGAAGGCGTGCGCCACCACTCACTCCCCGGTTAGCCTGGCTCATTTTTTTGTCTGCTGGAAGCATTGTAGTTTCTGGACGACAAATGGTCTCAGTTAAGGTTTTCCAACAACTACTTTGTTAAAAACTTGCTTCTAAACCAATGAAATCCATTCTAATGTAGGAGGCAGGGGAAAGAATGTCAGGTGACTAAAGAGAGACTGCGGTCTGAGGACTCCCGGGTTAGTGCTGAGCAAAGTGAAATCCTTTTTTCATGACATTCCCGGATATGCCCTCAGAACCGTTCCTTCTCAAGGTTTACTCTGGCCTTCCTGCCTGTGCGGGCTTCCGAAGACCAGAGACGCCTCCAGTCACTCGCCACTCCGCCCACAGGGTCCCGGCAGAGCCAGTAGACTCCGAGATTGCCTCTGGCAGCACTCGGGGGCTGACTATAAAAGCAGTTACCATCTTGCCAGGGGAGAAGCGCTGGTCGGTCGTTAGCGTCACTCAGCCCCTGCGCGCAAGCGTACTAAGCACGCCCCCCACCTTCCCGTGCACGCGCTCGGAGCCTGCAACTCTCGCGAGAGAAGCGAGATTTATTCCTACGTACCGGGCCGTGCTGCTTATGGCGGCGCTGGAGAGGGGGCGCTGAGCTGTTGGGGTGAGTACGACCTCGGTGTCCAGTGGGGGGGTAGCAAGAAGCCAGACTAAGGACAGGTGAGGAGACTCTGACTAATGAGTGAGACTTCTGAGTCAAGGTGGGCACTCTTGGAATTCCGGGTAGGGGAGCTCTCAGTGTGAGTTCCTACTTCAGGCTTCCTCATTCGTCCCCGGTTCAACCGTCCGGGCCTCATGGCAGGCCGCGGAAGCTTAGTGAGGAGTTGAGGCCCGGAGACGCGCGTGTTTGTGGTGGTGGTAGTGGTTGTGACTGAAGTGGGGGGAGGGAGCGAAAATGGAGTCTCCGGCCGCAGCCAAGATGGAGGCAGAGGGTGCGGGGCTCGGGCGCAGAGGCTGCCGGGAGCTGTAGTCTGTCCTCGTCCCCCTCTGCGGCTTGGCTGGGGGAAAGGAAACTACAAGTCCCGGCGGGAGGGGCGAGGGGGTGGTGGCGCGGTCCTTTGTGTGCAGCTGGAAGAGGCCGGGAAGAAGGGCCTACTTTTTTTTTTTTTTTAGGATCTTGTCTTTCTTGGCTGTCACTTGCTTTGGGGATATGACTACGACTACCAGAGCGCAGTGCGGCAGTGGCGCCTTCTTTGTGTGTGGGTCGAGACCCCGTCTCCTTCTAGGGGAAGTGCTTAGGGACACCTTTCCCCCCCAGCTATACCTGACCCTAGCGCTGCCGAATCGACGTCTTTACCCACAGTCACTTACGGCTGGGTCTCCACTCCTCTAACTTTGCCCCTTGACATTTGAAAAGGGAGCCGGGTCCCAGCCCAAGCACGTGTCTCCCACCCTTCTGTCTCGGGTAGGTGGCATGCGTTATGAGAGTTCCGTGATGCCCTCCCTACATGGTGCAAGCGCTGGCCTACATTGTGCAATGAATGGCTTGGCTTTGTCATGTATATAGTTTCAAAGCACTACTCGGAGACAAAAGGGGACAATTTTACCATCGAATGTTTCAGCAGCATGAAATCTTAGTGCTCCGGTTCTTTAGCTTTCAAGAGTTTCCCATAGAAACACCTGTGTGGCTGGTCTCTAACTTGACTCAGGTGAGCGGGGAGTACTCCGTAAAACAGGTTTCCCACTGCAGAAAACAATCTGAACATTATTAGGCCTACTTAGTTTCCTTATTTTGCAACTGAAATGAGCAAAAAGATAGTGCTATTTAAGCAGTTGAGGGGGACAGACAGAATGAGACTCAGTGGTGGTAGTTGAGTTTGAACAGTTAAATTCTGTTAGGCTGCTATTCACAGAGCTGCCCAGTTTGTTTTTCTTTCCTTTATTGAGACTGGTTATGCAGCTCAGGCTTGCCTTGAACTATGTAGTCCTGCGCTAGCTTTTTTTTTTTTTTTTTTTTTTTTTTTTGGTTTTTCGAGACAGGGTTTCTCTGTGACTTTGGAGGCTGTCCTGGAACTAGCTCTTGTAGACCAGGCTCTCACAGAGATCCACCTGCCTCTGCCTTCCAAGTGCTGGGATTAAAGGCGTGCACCACCACCACCCGGCTCCTCAATCTACTTTTTAAAAAGTAAGTTCCATATTATGGGGTATTAATTCAAGCTCCGTGTGTCTTCTTCCCTTTTTTTTTTTAATTTTGGAGATAGAGTCTCATTGTGTAGCCTTGGCTGGCCTTGAAGTCACAGATCTGCCTGTCTCTGCCTCCCAAGTGCTGGGATGAAAGGCGTATACCACCATGTCTGGTGCTCATTTCTCATTTTGAGTTACTAGAAGGCAAACTTAATACTAAATTGAGGGCAGTATAGTTATTCACGTGGATAAGAGGATTAAGTACACAAGCAGCTAAACACGTGTGTGTATGAGCGTGAAATTTAGGTGGTGGTGTGGCACACTTTTGATGCCAGCACTCAGGATGCAAACAAAGGCAGGCAAATCTCTTGAGTTCAAGGCCACCCTGGTCTACAAAGCTAGTTTCAGGATAGACAAGGCTACATACATCATGTCTCGAAAAAGCAAAAACAAAAACCTTAGATGTAATGTTTATCCTTATTTCTTTTTAGTCTTATAACTGAAATTAAAAAAAGAGATGGTATCAGTTTGAATTGCAGCTGCTCTGGATGTTTACTGTCAAGACGAGTATTTATAGCAGCTGAGTTGAAAAGCAAAGTATCTGAAGTACAGGAGATAGGTTTTCTTTTTTTTTTTGTAAATAAGTTCTGACTTAATTGTAACCTTAAGGAGTGGTTGAGAATTGTAAATTTCCAACAAATGAAAATGGTGAAAACTGACTTGTTTTTCTTGCACACATTTTCCCTCCCCTACCTTCAGGTAGCCCCCTCAGTCATCCCTTTTATATCTAGCATAAACCTTAGTTTTGACCGTTTTTTTGAAGTACATTGTTCAGTGGCATTAAGTATATTCCTATTGCTATGAGGGCTATACTTTTCTCAATAAGGTAGATATAACATGGAAATTCCTTTTGGATGAGTTTTTGAGTAATAAAATAATTAGGACTGTGTTGCAAAATCAAGTAGAAATGTTTATAAGACACAAAAATTGCTGTGCCTTTGAAACCTTTCTAAAAACAAAGGGAGACTCATTTTGAGATCTTTTGCCCAAACTTTGTTCCAGTACTTGGCGGGGCTTAGAGAGGAGAATCTTGAGTCAGAATCCATCATGGGCTATGTAGGGATACCTATTTTCACGAAACAACACAAATTCAGAACTTTCCACAGTGGTTTCAACTATAAAAACTTAGTGGGAATGATTTATATGGTCAAACTACGGTGCTGGGAGTAACTTGTGTTTTCCTTCTTGAATCATCATTCTGAGACGGGATCTCACTGTAGATGAGTCAGTCTGCTTCTGTCTTCTGAATGCTAGCTTTAAAGGCATGTGCCACCACTTCCAAGGCATTTGTTTTTTAAGTACCTTTTACCCAAGCAGGTTTTAGAAGTTCCCTTTGTTGAGACATTAGATGTTTTCTATGTGAATGTGGTAATACAGAATTAAACCAATACAAAGCTTAGAAATAATGTCCTTTTATGCTAAGGTACAGCATTAATATAACATTGAAAATAAATATATCTGCTGTTTATCAACATCGCACAGGTAAAGTATCTATTGGTTTGAAATGTGGCATATCTGTTTCTCCAACTTAGTAACTGCAAGCTTCAGTGAGCAGCTACAAGTTCCAGTGAGCAAGTCTTTGCTGGTATTATTACCTCCATTTATTAGTTAGAATCTCTGCCCAATAAACTTAACTTCTACTTTATAAGGCATGCTTTCCTTCTCTAATTGATGGCTTATTCTGCAGCATGGTAGCCACTAAACTACTTTTAAAATGTAAGTTTCGAGCTGGGCATGGTGGCACAGCCTTTGATTGAAGCAGTTGGGAGGCAGAGGCAGGTGGATCTCCGAGGTTGAGGCCACCCTGGTCTACAGAGGGAATTTTGGGACTTCACAGAGAAACTTCGCTTTGTAAAACCAAAACAAAACAAAGGTTGAATTGAAATACACTATAATTATAAGCTAACACTGATTTCAAGAATGTAAGAATCTTGATTAATTAGGTCCACTACATGTGGGCATTAACATTTTTAGTATAACTAAATTAAATTAGGCAAGTTTTTGTTTTGACCTCATTTCTAGAAAAATTTAAATTACAAATGTATCAAATGCTGGGGATATAGTAGAGTGTTTGGCTGATATGTCCTGGGTTCAGTCCCCAGCACAGAGTGAAAACTCAGTATAGAAGCATAAGCTTATAATCCCAGCACTCAGGAGAAAGGCAGGAAAAGGAACATTACAAGTTCAAGGTCATCTTGAACTTGTCTGAAAAATAAAATATAGCATAGAGTAGGTTTTTGTTGATAATTTCTTCAGCTTCCTACCCTGACTGTTGTATTTAATAGCATTTACATGTTAGATACATAATTTTAAATGACCTAATATCCAGGTTATTAACAACTAAATATATACTAAAGGATAGTTGAATTGATATCAATTTTAGTTCCCCTTAATAGGTGGTGATCTAGATTTATTTACTTATTTTTGGGCTTAGCCCTAGCTGTCTTGGAACTCTAGAGCAGGCTGGTCTCAAACTCACAGAGCTGCCTGCCTCTGCTTCATGAGTGCTGGGACTAGAGGTGTGTGCCAACAACACTTGACTGTTGGGTTCTTCAAGACAGGGTTTCTGTCCTGGAACCCACTGTTTAGACCAGGCTGGCCTTGAACTCAGATCCACTTGCCTCCAACAACAGTCAGGTTCAAAGGCATGCAACACCATGCCCAGCAATTTAGATTATATTGTTTGTATCTAAAGCTTATTAATCTTAATTTCAAAAGTTAAGGGAGTAGAGCTATAGCTCAATAGTAGAGCATTTGCCTAGCATGATTAATATTTCAAGTTCAATTCTCACCACCACAAAACACACAAAAATGAGGAAGAAAACAAAAAAAGGTCCAGGCAAATCACAACTGCTGTGCTTCAGTTGTGGTGCATTTGAGCTTAAAACCAACTAATGCATCACAGATTTGAACTATGAAGGTAAGATTTTTTTATTCATAATCACACAAACCTATGGAAAATTTCAAGTATGGTGTGTTTTTTGGTTTTTCGAGACAGTATTTTTCTGTAGGCTTTGGAGGCTGTCCTGGAGCCCACTCTGTAGACCTGGTTGGCCTTGAACTTACAGAGATCCGCCTGCCTCTGCCTCCTGAGAGCTGAGACTAAAGGCGTGAACCACCAATGCCCAGTTTAAGTATGGTGTTCAATGAAATATCTGGCAGTTTTGTTTTTCCTCCTAAAAAGGAGGTACTTCTGCTGGAAGTGGGTTAGGAGGTGCTCTGTTTTTTATTGTCATTCACTCCAAGTAAATTCTGTTATATACTCAGTAATTTCTCAAAATTATAAACTGAGTAGGCACAGTGGCACAGGACTTTAATCCCA